TGAAATGTCATCGAACCGGATTCATTACACCCTATATATCACTATTATCACATATTTACAAGACGATGCGTAGGAGTCGATTCGTGGAGATATCATCGGGTTTTATAGTTCTTGCGACAGAATGAGACGAGGCGTCTGCGGAGGTGATGAACGGCCATGAAAACCGCTGTTAATTTCGGAACATCTAACGGCATGCATGCTTGATTACCTGAAAAGGTTCCTTGTCGGAAAGGTTGAAGATGGATGGGACGGTTTAGCTAAATATCGACTGGGCCACCTTAGTTTCGGTTGAAAATCGCGCCGAGAGGCTTATAGGTAAGTCCGTACTAGTAGAGGCGAAGCCTACATAACGATTTTCTACAGGTTATATTACGGAGAGTGTGCGATGGAATTACACGATTTAATTTCCGCCTTCCCCTTTCCATTACCAGGGGACTAGACGTAGGCTGGGGTTCCACCCCCATTTTAGGGATATTCCAAGGATTGCCACGAAGCGTTACGCTTTCACATCCATATGGCGAATGGCTATGGAGTGGAATTTTCCCTGCTTGCAGACCTATTCCCTAAATGCTAAAACTTGGGCCTTTTCAAGGCGAAAATAAATAGGTATTATTTAGGTGTTCATGCACTATCGTTGACCGTTGACCTCATGGTCATTTTCCATCATCGTAAACAAATCTCGTGGCCAATCTCCAACCCATCATGATTGTTCAGCACACTGTCCAAACTCATGTTGGATCTACAAATAAAACTATTTCGACTATATATTGTGTACGTATGTATGTAAAGTTTGTGAAGGTTTATTATCTCAGCCATATTTATATTGTCGCCATTGATAATTGTATTTACATTTATTTTTAACAAATGTATTGTACAATAATGTCCTGCAGACTTAATTTATTCACCACTGCTAGGGTTGGTTGGAAGAGATCTCTTCTAGAGATAAACTCACTTTTGTATATGTACTTTGTAACTTGTAATTTTCAATGTCATTTATTTGTGCAATAAATGATGAATGATGATAACCATAACAACATCATTTACTTCAGGCCTGGTTTTAGTTACAAAAGAAAACCGCAAATCTTCGTTAGTACATGTTTGAATGAATTTAGAAATATTTGTTGATAATTATTAAAATATTAAAGTGCGAAAATGAAAAAAATATGATAATTAGGCTGTAAAAATGGTAACATACACAAATCAATACTTAATTTGACCATTTAAATGTGAATTTAACAACTATAGGGCTTCAGTTGAAAACCAAAATTACGGTTCTCTGTGGTACTTAAAGAAAAATATCTCCTTATAAAAATGATGTGCAAATTTAGATATTTTATTCTTAAGCAATTCATTTAGACTTTTATTTAGATTTAGTAGTAGTACTGTCACCTTAGGTACTATATATACTATACACCAAGCAATAATATGAGCTTTACTGCGTTCCGATTTGGAAGGATAAGGCTGCTGGTCAAATTACATGCACATGGGGCTTGTCAACTTATGTCTCAGAGTAACGGGCGAGTCAGTTGCAGTGCCCCAAAGATCTTTGCTCGTCGCTTCCCGTCACTTGATATTATTAAATAAAAATGTAAAAAAAAATTGATCTGTTTTCACAAATTAGCTCATTCTTTAAATTCCTCGGAAGCAATTGTGGGGCGTTGATGTCATCCACGGGGTGACATCAACGCCCTAAACTACACTACAAATACGTATGTATAGTTTTCCTAGTGATTTGTTTGTGTTAATTTTTTTTTTATCTTGCCTAAGTGGGCGGTGTGCCAAATAATTTAGAAACCTATGTCCTAGCAAAACATTTTTCTCCGTTTCTCGTCTTAAACGAAATATCACCCAACAGGTTTATAATATAAGATTCTTCATACAGTAGCTCGCTTTAATCTGAGCGCACGTCGGCATCAGTTTCTGTTTCAATGCCTATTTCGTGGCCACACACAAATGAGTCATACGTGAAAGTGAATTGGAATATTCCGTTCTACTGAGACAAATCCATGCAACACTGCCTTGTGTGTTTTATTTATTTGTTCTTGGATTTATTTATATAAGGAAAACCTGAGGTCACAATTGTTAACGTTTTAACTTTATAAAAATTATTAACACTCTTACTGAAGGGTCGCTTTGATAATCAGACCGTAGTCTACTCGTGTCCTATTCCGGTTTCCAACTTCTGAACTTTACAGAATATTTCGTATTATTAATGTCCCAATATTTTGGTCAACGAAAATTTATTATGTACTAAATTAATTAGATAATTATGTCAATCAGCAACAAGATTCGTCGCATAAAAATTAATAATGCAATTCGCCAGACTTAGCCATTTTTATCCAACCATTACAATGAAAATGGACCGCTCTGAATCTTAGCTGGTTCAACGTCAATGAACAACGAATTTTGTTGCAACAAAGTAAATCCTCTAAACAGTAAAGCCTCTATCTCTACGCTGACGACCCTGTCCCAATATTAATAAAGGATAAATGGATGCAGATATGCTATAACGTGTTTACGCACAAAAACTCGAAAATTAAGATATTAATGCTAAATTGTAGCATTTTACAAACATCAAATCTAAGTGATTTCAAACCCCCGAATATTAAAAAATAATAAAAACAATTGACATACTCGTACTTACTTAAATACATACAGCCAAAAAAATTTTTAGGCGCCATTTTATCAAAACTGTATTAAACGTTATTGCTTAGCAGTATCCAAATTATCGCCATAAAAATTTCAATTCATAAATTAAATAACGAAGTAGTATACCTAAAAAAATATAAATAAACCAAAATATAGTCGAAATGAAATGACGTCAAATAAAAATTTATAATTTCTTCGAAAGAAATTCTTCAAAAATCTGCAAAACGATTTAGCAATTAACTACCTATTTTGATAAAATATGTTTTTATTCAATAATAATCATTTGTATTTCAAATATTTCAAGTTATATATGTTGTCCAAAACAGTAATTCAAAAACAAGTTTTCGTAATTATTATTATTTAAGTATTTAGCGAGGATCGAGAACCATCGGCTTATAAAGGTAAAAAATAATGCAAATAATTAAGAAATACAAAACGAAATATAACTACTTTTAATCAAAACTAATTCGTGTAAAAACTGTAGTTCTTTCATAATTAATTATTTGATGTTTTTTGGCGATTGTCAAAATTTTTCAAAAATAATATTATGTTGAGTCAAGCCATGTCGGCAAAGTACCATAATATTTGTCAGATTTTGGATAAAACCCTCGATATTTGGACACACCGGCTACACATCGGAGTCAAGGCTGGATCATCACGCACCCAACCACCGTGAAGGTATTGTGACAGATTATAATTAACCCCAAACTGGTAAGGCGTAGATAATAACCCATAACAAGTTTGTTTAAGCCAATTTTCAAAATTCAAAACAATTTTCAAAAAAAAACATTCCCAAAGTCTTAGCAATTTAATCAAGAATATGAATAATAATTTTACACAAAAAACAACGCCCTCTGTTGAAAGCTCACGAAACATATTTAATCGACGCCATCTTGTAGAACACAAACAAACTAATGTTAATAATGCGATATATTATTTCTGAACGAAAATATACATTTCTGAACGATATTTTGTCGTAGTGTTGGTAACACTGGTATTTGTGCTACTATCGTTCCATAACTCATCAATGGCATTATTGTACTGTGACTTCATTCTAAGGTTTTCTAAGAATTCTCGTATCCGATTTTTCGAATATCTCGAGCTGTTTGAGAAATTTCTAAAAACCTTAAAAAATTCAGTTTAATCAACAACTAATATAATTTACAAGAACTTTTCTCAAGTAGTTTTGTTCTGAGTGGTGCCCCTACGTTAGCACAAATTACACTCTAGAGTGAATTTCCTGGTGCTTGATACTGGTTACGATTCCCGGTAGGACCAATTTGAGAAATGAACTTTTCTAAATTAGTCCTGGTTTGTTGTAAGATCATTTGTTTATCTTATCGTTGAGAAGCTAAGTAACACTTATGTCCACTTGCACTAAACCTAGGTACGTCTTAAACCAATAATTGCAATGCAAAAGAAACTCTTAATACATTGTGTTAAGAGTGTCTTATCAATTTAAGCATTGGTTTAAGAGATACTCAAGTTTAGTGCAAGTGGACATTAGTGTTGCTCGTGTGACGCAAGCTGGGCTTTACTCTTTTGGTAGAAGAAATGTTTAAGTAACTTTATTTAGTACGTTCTATTACACTGCATAAAGTGCGCCCAGCGCAGCTTGACGCCGTCCGCCACCACTTACTGCATTTTTTTTGCATTATTTATTATTTCAAGTAGCAGATAAAGTTCGTATTGAATAAAATTGTTCGTTTAATGCATCACAGCGTCACGTCGACTGGCTGCGACCATTTGAGGCGACCCTAAGGAGAACAATCAGCAGCAAGAATGTAAAAATCTTTAAAGCCAGTTTTTCAATATCTAGAAAAGGTAATCTGATTTCCCAAGAGTTCTGGAGAATATTTTTCTCATCTAGAAGTTGGCCAGATAATTCTAAGCAATTATGTTTACCTTTTTGAATTCACATGTATTATCATTATTATAACCTCGTTTTTAACATATTTATACGAATTTTATTAATATACACATGAAATTATATAAGAGAAATAGTAAATTATACAACGATACTTACTATATAGTGAATTGAAATGAAAACAGGGTGAGTTCTAGTGAGTATGAGAAACTGTAGTAGCACACCAACTGATAACGAGTTGAATGAGTAGTTGGCAGTACTGTCGCGCATTGCTCAACGAACGTATTAAGTTCTGCAGTGTGGACGGCAGATGTGTCACCGTATTAATATAGACTTTAAAAAAATACTACGATAGCAATTAAAATAAATTTCGAGTGTGTAAAATATATTCTAAAAATAGACATAACAAACTTTGTGTAAAACTAGTTTTTATCTGTGAAAGTGTTTTTGAAAGCGTATGGTGTAATCGTAAAGTGTTTCAAAAATGAATAACTCAAGAACACCGAAAACTTCACCAATTACTGACGATTATGAGATCTCAAACACTGTCCTTGGCCTTGGCATTAATGGCAAGGTAAGTATTTAGTTAATAATTTTTCGATTACATTATTTTAATGATAACATTTGAAAATTACCAATTTTTAACGACGTTCCAAACAATTGTTTATCTATGACGCAAGGTTTCGAATTTAGAATTGGGTTTTTTATCATGTTGGTACGCTTCATTGGCTGGCAAAGATTTTGTACACAGTCTTAAGAAAACGGAAAGTAAACAGTAATATGTAATAGTTTTTTTTTCCTATTAAAAACATAAGTTTCCTATATTCGTGTTATAATATGTCTTAAGACATTTCACAATACTAAAGATGAAGGAAGTCCAAACCCTGCAAAGAGTATGGTCACTGCGCAGGGTACGTATATGACAGGATTATCCTCATTAAAAGGTACTCCTGCTCAGCAGAGGGACTTCTAACATTGGTAATTGTAGTAATACTATAATTAAATGATTTTGCTAATAATGATCATTAGACAATTTGTATAATTAGATTTTTTTAAACTACCTAATGGTTTAAATATTTTTGCAATGACCACCGTAATACATTGCGAAATAAGTATCTTTAATGCAGAAGATCTACTTGAACTGCATATTATAGATAACGTAGTGGTCGCAGTGATGAAGGGCTGCACAGGACCATTGTGCAACCATAATAATAATCATTGTGCAATTTTGCGATCA